TCAGGCATCATCAGAACAAAAAGTCATACCATAGTGCTCACTCATTTATGCTAAGAAATTTGGAAGACCTGGCCAACCAAATGGAAGAGCCCCATGTTTGTGACTATTCCAAAGAAAGGGACCCAACAGACTGTGGAAGTTATCAAACAATACCTTTAATACTAGTTGCAAGTAAACTTTTGCTCACTGTCATTGTGCTGTTTATACCTCCAAGAATATTCTCAAATGTTAGGAGTCTTGTATGATCCTTCATTTTGTGAGACTACTTTAAATGTACACACCCAGAGTCAGCCCAGGTGTTGTCATGGGTGTAACCATGTTGACTGCTGCACAAGGTTTTTAAAATGATTGCTATACATGCATGGATTTCAAAGATTTACATAACAATGCATTCTAAGTCTTGTTTAGATAAAATAAATGTTCATCTGCTGTCTGATTGTCACCTGCAGAACACGAACTCCATGAGTTGAATTTGCTCAGGGATCACTCTTGGGAGAGGCGGTATTTTCAGAGTCATTTAGATTGCCCCGCTGAGGTTCAAGATGACCACACTCCATTTTTAAGAAAAGGTAATGAATGTGTGTATGTGTGTGCGTGTGTACATGAACATAGGTATACATCATGTGTGCATATTTATTTTGCTGTTTATATATATCATATATATCTGCATTTTGAAATTTGAAGACCAAAGCACTAATGTCAATGACCCATTTTTAAGAGTATACCAAAATTTTGAACCCTGAAGTCTTGAATCTTTATGCCTTAAACCTCAAACCAAAACTTTCCCCAGAAGTCTGCTTTAAACCAAACAACAGTGTATTAGTAAAGTATATCTGCCTTGAGCATTGTGCTTCTTCAAATATTTATCCTTGTGGGATCAAGTTGACAACAGCAACTCAAAAGGTTAGAGGAGAACTTGGGAAGAATGACTGTACGTTAATGATGATGGGGTGATTGGAAAAGATAGCAAGCATGGTAGCAGAACTTGAGGAACTTAAACAACACCACTGAAATGTACATGGGTGAATTGTTGAAACAGTTTATTCATTGCTATGTATATTCTCTCTCTCTCTCTCTCTCCCTCTCTCTCTCACACACACACACAAACTGACCAAGATCTTGACTCATTCCTAAATCCTGTTTGGCTTCTGCTGCCATGTGGTAGTTGTCTTCAGTAGAGAAACTCTTCAGGTCTCTACTTTCAACTTGCATTTGAGGAATCAATTAAACAATAAAATAAAATAAAATTAAAAGTGCATTTTAAAACACTAGGATAATTCTTTTTTAAGGACTAACTACACTGAAGTTATCCTTTATTGATGCAGACCAATCCAGAGGTGTTTTAAGAGTTCCAAAAGCAGATAGGAAAGTTAATTTTAATGAGTGCTTATCTCTAAAAGAGCTTTCACCAATGGGCTTTTCCGTGTGTGTCCTTGTCGCCAAGAAGTCAGGTATTTAAGTCAAATTGACCATGAGGGAAGAAGTAGCTATAGTCTCCTTCTCCTGATCTTTATTGTCTCTAACTCAGGTTTAGACACACATTGTATGCCTTAACTTCCCCTTACCAGACCACTCTAGGCTCTCCACTGATACGACCAAGTCTGCCATTCTTCATCGATGTGAAGGATAAATCTGGAAGTATGTGCTTCTCTCTCAGTTTGCTTCTTCTTGGCAAAGAGTCACACTTACCCATTTGTTCAGCTCAGATGCCTGGGAATTGTTCCTCATTCTGTAATGTCTCCTCATGGCCCGTTTCACTACCTCCGACAGTTCAGATTCAGGTCTTCCAGGTTCACTGAGCACCTTAACAAACTGAAAGTGTGAGAAATGATCAAATCTAACTGCTTAATTAAATCACCCATCACGTCATCTCACGAGTTTTATGTTCTCATTCAAGACATCCCAAGTCATTACGGAGACCTTCACATTTTTTTTTTGTGCTACATCTAGAATATTTATGAAAGCTCACATCCTACTGATAGCCTGCCTTTCCTTTCATTGTTAGATTGTATTCTTACACTTTGCGGTACTCTGGCATTTTCTGGTCTGTAACAATGCCATATCCTTGGTATTGAGATGGTGTGAGTCTAAATCAATTCCAGGACTCTAACAATAGCCTCCCAATTGCTCTCCAGTTTTCACTCCTAGGCTCTGCATACCTGCTAGAGCTATCTTTGAAGCCTGTTAGCAGGGTTAGTCACTTGCCACTGTATAGAGGAAGATCCCAAGTCTTTCTATGACTTACAAAGGCCTCCAGTTTCTGATTGTGCTCTCTCTCTCCTCTCTCTCTCTCTCTCTCTCTTCAATTTGACCTCCCCCCTTTCTCCAACAATTACTCTGATCCAACCGCATTGTCTTCCTTGCTCAGCCTTTCTCAAGCAAGACAAGCACACTCCTACCTCAGCCCCTTGGCACTTGCAACTGTAACAGCCTGGGTTGCTCATTCCCAGTATTTATGTGGCTTACTTTCTCATTTTATGTCTATTTCTGTTCATTGCCAACTTCTTAAAGAGGTCCTCCCTGACTTTCAATGTCCCTCTTTTGATCTTACTGTCTGCTGCCTCATTCTGTATCCTTACCTTGTTTTCTCACTCTTGATATGCATACTCTCTTCCTAAAATGAGGCTTTGTATTTGTTCATTTGCTGTTTCCTCCACTGAAATGTAAGGTTTGTCAGGGAAAGAACTTTTCATTTTTCCCTGATGAACCTCAGCTTTCAAACAGCTCCTGGTGCATAGGTGTTTTAGCAGCATCTATTGACTTAACCAATTTTTAATGAATGAATGTCTTTGGAGGCATTTCCATCTACAAGGCAGTAGATGGGAGATGTTATTAACTGTCTTCATAAGGTGCCAAACTCCCGCTCAGACTTCTCCTTAAAGCATGTTACTTTCTAGCTTATTCACTGGCAATAGCCACTTAATGACACATCAGTCCTTTCTCATTAGGTGTTCCGATTCTGCATCTGATACCGTCTCCTTTCCCTGAAGTCTGGCACACCATGGATGACAATGAAGAAAATTTGGATCCACCAACCATCGACAATCTGAACAAAATCCTACAAATCTTTGTGTTGGAATATCTTCATTTGTAACCATCTGGCTTTGTTTATGGTAATCACTTCTAACCCTGTGTTTGAAAATCAAGTACTACTTACAATCATCTGGTCCCAGTTAAATGCTGTGTGGGAAATTCTGTCCTATACACTCAATCTTTAGGTAACTTTGAATATTTGCTCAATAAATCTTAGAATTATATCGTGCCATAAATTGTTCATTCATTTTCATCTAGAGATAAATGGAAAACAAATACGTACATTTTACAACTTTGATAGATAAGAAACTGAGACAAACTCACATTTATGTGGTTGGTGTCATGGTCTTGTAAACATTAATGAAATATGATGGTGATGAACAATAAGTAGCCTAGTTGTATGAGTTTGAATATTTGGGGATCTATTACCTACAATACAAATCAGATACATAGTTTGAAGACCCTCAAGCTTCTTGTTTCTTTGAGAAATCTTGGTAGAGCTTATTTCAGGGAAAAGCAAATGAAACTTAGATGCCATTTGGTGAATTATTTTGTTATGTATAAATGAAGTATTACATAGTTTAAATGATAGGCACAGTTTTATAAATTTAACATTTTTATTGTAAACAATACTAACATTGAAAAATGGAAAAAAAGAAAAATATCATAGGATGTTCGCAGAATCACCACTAGCTCTTTGGTTTTTCCTCACATTTTGTTGAGTGCCAATCCTCCCCCACCCCCTACAGTTTTAATAAAATAATATCTACAGTTTGGGGGCAGGGAATGTATTTTCCTCCTGACATCTCTGGCTGGCACAGCTGGTTTGTGCTTGATTGCTAACTTGTATGGAACAGTTCCACTCTGTAGCACAGAGGACACCGTGAGTCAGAATCGATGGATGACAACCGAAAAGGGTATATTGGGATATTTTCCTGTTAAAGCATATCATTGTCAGGCATTGATTTGCTGATTTGGTCCTGGGGGTGTTTGTGGTGAAGACAAGTCAGGGTGACAGGCAAGCTGCGTGGGAAGCAATGGCAGCTTCAGGTTCATGACCATGCAAGCCAGCAGGAAAAGAGATTTTTTTACTTAGCATAGTTTTCAGGTTAAATATATATATATATATTTATGCATATATATATGTAAAATTCTTATATGAAAAGGGAAGTCTGATGGGGCAAAAATTAAGCACTTGGCTGGTGGTTCAAACCCACCAGGAGCTCTGTGGGAGAAGGATCTTGTGAGCTGGTTGTTTTTTGAAAACTCACTGCCGTCGAGTCAATTCTGAATCATAGCAATCCTATGGGACAAGGTAGAACTACCCCGAAGAACTCTGGAGACTGTGATTCTTTTTATTTTTTTGAGACTGTGATTCTTTACCAGAGTAGAAAGTCTCATCTTTCTCCCTGAGGAGTGGCTGGTGGTGTCAAACTGCTGTCCTTGCAGTTAGCAGCCCAATGTGTAACCACTATGCCACCGGGGCTCCTCTGTAAAGATTACAGTCCAGAAATTTTCTGGGGCAGCTCAACTCTGTCACATAGAGTCACAGTGAGTCAGAAATTGCCTTGATAGCCCACAACTGAAATAACAAAAAACTATCGATTTTATCTATATTATTAGACAAAAGGTCTATAAACTCACCGTCATCGAGTCAATGCTGCTGCATGGTGACCCTGGAGGGCACTTTGGGTTCCTGAGGCTGTAATCTTCCTGGGAGCAGACAGCCTCATCTTTCCCTGTAGAGCAGTTGGGAGGTTTGAATGGCTGACCTTGTGATTAGAAGCCCAACACGCTGCTGCACTGATCTGTAACACACACACACACACACACACACACACATTGGTGAATGTTACAGAATTATATTTTTCTTAGATTTTAAAACATTTTACAAATCTGATTCTAAAGTTATGTAAAGGTGTCGGCCTTTGTGAATTCCAAATCAAACCAAACTCATTGCTATTGAATTGATGTTGATTCATAAGTGACCTATGGGACAGGTTCCTGTGGGTTTTGGAGGTTGTAACTCTTTTTTTTTTCCAAAATCTTAAAAAAAAATTTTTTTTAATCGTTTTATTAGGGGCTCATACAACTCGTATCACAATCCATACATACATCCGTTGTGTAAAGCACATTTGTACATTCATTACCCTCATCATTCTCAAAACATTTTCTCTCCACTTAAGCCCCTGGCATTAGGTCCTCATTTTTCCCCTCCCTCCCCGATTCCCCCTCCCTCATGAGCCCTTGATAATTTATAAATTATTATTTTGTCATCTTGCATGTCCGACGTCTCCCTTCACCCACTTTTCTGTTGTCCATTCCCCAGGGAGGGGGTCACATATAGTTCCTTATAATAGGTTCTGAGGTTGTAACTCTTTATGAGAGTAGAAAGCCTCATCCTTCTCCCAAGGAGAGGCTGGTGACTTCTAACGGCTAACCTTGTGGTTATAAGCCCAAGCATGTAACCACTATGCCACCAGTTTGTGAATTAAATATTACTAAAAGCTGACCTTTTTACTGAGTGCCAGTTCTGGGCCAGACAGGACTGTGTCTGTCTTTTGGAAGAAAAGAAGTACTCAAATTCTGGGTCAAAAGTGCTTTCCATGTTTCACCCTTTTAATGCTCACAGTAATCCCTGTGGTGGGTTTATTACTAACTCTCAGTGTGGTTGCAATCAGGCAGCTAATAAGTGACAAAGATGGGGTTTTTAACTAAGCAGTCTGGCTCTGGAAGCCATGCTTGACCCACCATACTAACCCTGCCTGTTTACATGGAAACAATGCTGGACCTTCTTCTGAAGGCCAAATGCAAAGCAGTATTGGACCTTGACATTTTTAAAGGTCATTCATTGTAACTAAGGTCATTCATTAATAACAAAATATTCTTTTAAAAAAATTATTTCATTTTATATTTGAAAATTTTCCTCTGGGTTGGGTGAAAGTTTACAGAGCAAATTTATTTCCATTCAGCAGTTTATCACGTCTTGTTTTGTGACATTTGTTGCAATCCCCTCCATATAGCAGCAGTTTCCCCAGTGCCCCCTTTGGTCCTCCACTTCCATTCACCCTTCTTTTCTCTCCTGTCTGGCCTTCTGAACTTTGGATTTGGGCCAATGCTGCCCTTTCAGTGTCCTCTGGTTTGTTGTTTCAAGGGGAACTTTTTCATGGGTGGACTTTTTCACTCACAAACCTGCTTATTGTTTGACTGCAAGGTCATCCCCAGAAGTGGGTTCAAATCCAGGTTTGAATGGTATCCATGGGTCATAGTGTTGGGAGTTTCATCAATCTCTACCAGCCCAGGAATAGGGTCATTTTTGTGATTGTGACATTTGTTCTATATATGAGGGGGGGCCCACCTCCCCCCCAAAAAGTGGACTTGGGCTGGGTGGAGCAGAGC